TCCCTCCCTCTCTCTGTCTCTCCCTCTCTCTCTCTGTATCTCTCTCAGTCTCTCTCCCCTCCCTCTCCCGCTCTCTCTGTCTGTCTCTCTGTCTGTCTTTCCCTCCCTCTCTCTGTCTGCCTCTCTCTCTCTTTCTCTGTGTCTCTTTCTCTCTCCCTCCCTCCCCCTCCCCCTCCCCCCTCTCTGTCTGTCTCTCAGTCCCTCCCCCCTCTCTCTGTATCTCTCTCTGTCTCTCTCTACCACCCACCCGCCTCTCCCTCTCTCTCTGTCTCTCTGTCTCTCTTTCTGCCTCTCTCTTTGCCTCTCTCTACTTCCCTCCCCCTCCCTCTCTCTCTGTCTCTCTCTCTGTCTGTCTCTCTCCCTCCCTCCCCCTCTCCCCCTCTCTCTGTCTCTCTCACTCTCTGTGTCTATCTGTTTGTCTGTCTGCCTATCTCTCCCTCTCCCTCTCTCTCTGTCTTTGTTTGTCTGTGTGTGTGTTTGTGTGTGTGTGTGTGTCTCCCTCCCCCTCTCCCCCCTCTCTCTGTGTCTTTCTCTGTCTCTGTCTCTCCCTCTCTCAACAATCAAGGTGAACTTTTCACTCTTCTGAGCAAGATTATGGGGATTTAATGTGCCGCAGAGATGTTGGCCTGGTTTTACCTCCTCAAGGATATGACTTCAAGCTTAGGGATGTTTCCTTTGTACACCAGCAGCCGTAACAACAAGATATTGTAGGACATTAGCACCCATCACTCTCCTAGAAGAATGAAATATTTTGAGATATATTAAAGAAAGAATTTTACATTTCCCTGGATAGAATAGAATAGAATAATATAATAGAATTCTTTATTTAATGTGCTGCGCATGTGCAGAATGGTTTACAGGCAACTGCGCACGTGCAAAACATGTGTGAAGCGAACTGGGAGTAATTAAACCATCTTTCCAAATAGCATCCAAAATTAAATCAGAGTCCAAGGCAAAGTATTGCTCCAATTCTTTATGCCACCCGGGCTCGGGTCGGTGCAAGGGCTCAGGACCCTAGACAGCACCCCGAAATTCGGGGTAGCTGGTGAAGTATTTTAATGGCAATTCGGGTTAATGTCAGGGTTGTCAAATAGCATCCAAAATTAAATCAGAGTCCAAGGCAAAGTATTGCTCAAAGTTCCAATTTATTAAGAGAGCCATGTTGGCACATCTGGGAAAACCCAAATCTGAAAGCTTCCCGGTTTTCCCCACCCAGTTGAAAGTTCAAGATCTTGCCCCCACCCCACCCACAAGTCCATCACATGATCCAATCTCCCACTGCCATGCTGGCAGCTTCCACCCGTCCACTTCCGGTCAGGTGCAGAGTTGCAGAGACAAGGAATGACCTTGGCTTTCTAGAAAGAATGTTGTTATGGCTACATACCATCTAATTCCATACACTCCCCCCCTCCCGTTTTCCCGCAATAGGAAATGCATAGTAGAATAATAGAAAGCGTGGCAGGCCAAAGATCCAAAAGAAAAGATGGCTGCAGGCCTGACATCTCCATGTTTCCAGGGTCTTTTTCTCCACTTGGAAATGAACCCAGATGGACATTTCTTCCAACACTACGATTCTGTGTGCCCAGAGGCTGAAGGTCGAACTTTGATGGTATCTGGAGGCTCCAGAGTGAAAAGAGAAGAGAGGTCTTGTAGACAATGTTGGACAGCCTTCCAGTTGGTTTGGATTGGGGTGATTTTGCAACATCTGCAGTTTTGCCCAAAGGCAAGCATGGGAAAACAGTCGAGCGTTAATTATTTTCAGCCCTGGCTGCAAAGAATTCCTTGAGTGGTTTCACTAATAATTGCAGCGGAAATAACGATTGATTAAAAGGCCCATATTATTGCAGCCGTCATAATTCCTGTGACTTATGTGGTTTCTTTTAAACCTTCTCATAGACGTAATTGCGTCAGATGTGCCCAGCTGGCTTATCTTAACAGAAAGCCTCACTTTCATCTGGGTTACATATGAAATAAAAAGGATTCCCTACATTTAGAAGATGGCTAGCAATGAACGTTTTGCTGTTCGCATCTTTAGCTGATGTTGTTATCTTTGAGAAGAACAGAAACGGGACTGAAGTTAGAAGAATGTTTAAAAAAAAATGGAAAAAGCAATCCGCAGCAAAGCGGACAATCCTGTAGTTTTATTTTGTATTTTTTTCCCCTTCAAGCTGGGATTTGAAACAGGGTGTTTCCAGATTTTGGAAAACAAATCGTAGGGATTCTCGAAATTTTGGGCTTGGACAATCTGCAACTGCAGCACCTGTGGTGTGACCTAAGTATAGTACACAAAATTGTCTGCTACAACGTCCTACTTGTCAACGACTGCTTCGGCTTCAACCGCAATAATGCACGGGCAAACAATAGATACAAACTCAAGGTTAACCGCTCCAAACTCGGTTGCAGAAAATACGACTTCCGCAACAGAGTGGTCAACAGAGGTGGGTTCCTACCAGNA